TAGCCTACCGGCACAAGGGCTAAGAATCAAACATCCCACCTACCCCTCCCCCCATTAGCAAATGAGAGCCAGAGATCTGAACTTCTTGGGAGGTTGACCATATGCAATATAGCAAATGAGGGGGATTTCCTTCTACCTTCTCTTCGAAGGAAAATATTTTCACCACTGTTTTGCTTTTTTCTGATGGATGGTATTGCTCTATTCATTATTCTGTTTTGATAAGCTCTATAATGTTCCGTATTTTGTTTTATTTTGCTGTACATGATTGAAAGAACCACTATTGCGAAGATAACGAGATATACTGTGATACCTATTACTGTTATCTCGGTAACCTGCTGTGAAGTTCTGTACCAATTTCACTACATGTCTAAATTGGCTTTGTTCCATCTTGTTTTGTTTTATTTTACTACCTTCAGAATAATAAAAAAATTTTAAAATTTTAAAAATTAAAAAAAGAAGCCAAGTAAACACTTCTTATTAAACCAAAAGAGTAGTAGCCACTTTTCTAATATTAACAGTCTAATACTAATTTCTAATACTAACATGAGTAGGACTGATAAAAACCTGGAAAACTGGATTAGTAATTTACAGAACATTATTTTTTTCCAAAAAATTTTCCTTTCTAGGGAAAAGGAAAAAGGCATAAATTTGTATAGCTAAAGTGACTATACTACTACTTGTATTAGTTAATGGAAAAGAACAGTTAATATTCATATGAGTAGATCAATTTTGCATGTCTATATCCATTAATCTAAGGAAACCTTTTGAAGGTAACAATATACAATATTACAACCATTGTCAAATTCCTATCATCTTGTTTTATAAACTTATACTGTTATTGTGTTGGGTTTGTTGTTGCTGTTTGTCTTTTGCTTTTTATTTTTCTTTCTCTTAAATAAAGCAAAAAACAATTCCTTTCTTTTATTTTTAAGTCACTATTATGAATATTCTTTTTGATCCCAGGACTATAAAGAAATCTTTTGGCATTATTTTATTCTCATCTTATATTCATAAGAGCAATAAAGATTAGTTTTTTTTTTTTTTTTTTTTTTGGTCTTTTTCCTTTTTATCGGTACCGGGGATCGAACTCACGACTGCCTGCTTGCAAGGCAGGCGCTTATGCCGCTGAGCTAAATCTCCAGCCCCCGATTAGTTTTTAATAATTCAACAATAAAGTGTCAATGCAGAGTAGTTCATCTTTTTTGTTTTATTTTGTTTTGTTTTTGTTTTCTGAAATAAAATCTCACTATCTTGTCTAGACTGTCCTCGAACTGTGGAAGTGATCTTTTCACATCAGAGCAGCTGAGCCTACATTCATTTCTACTATTCCGCCCAGCTTCAAAGTACCTTAAACTATTTATTTCAATTAGACAAAAAGTTACAGTCTTCTAAATTACCAAAATTCAGACTTCAAATTTCTTGTTAGCTACCTCGTAGGTCTTTTGCTGATCTCTTTCCCCACCCACTTTGATTAATTCTATGCAGACTCATTATTTTCCTAGAATAGTTCATTCATCAAATAGTGATACAAACTTTCTTTAAGAATCAAAGATATTCTTAAAAATAGTTTGAACTGAACAAGTGAGAAACTGCTATAAGAAAAGCATCCCTAAGCTCAACATGAAAGGTTACCTCTAGTTTTAGAGAATAGACATGGCTTCTTTTAGATGAGGGGGAACACTGCATTTACTTTCAATAGGTAACAAACTGAAGAAGCTTTAGAATACAAAGCAGCAGTCCTGGGGGATATTTTCTCATATGCCAGTATAATCTTATTCAAAATAAATTGTTTTAAACAAGACTAACAAAATTATGACTGTGTTAAAGTTACATAAAATAGATACATTTCTTGGCTTATAATTTCAAGTACTATTTCAGTGCCCACTTCAGCAGCACATATACTAAGTAACATTTCAGATCCTTCAATAATAAAGTTGGAATATAAAACAAAATAATACACTGAAAAAGAAAAATCTAAAAACTAGAGATGTAAAAATTATCAAATCTACTGCAAAATATATAGGATTATATGTAATTCTTACGTAGGATTACTCAGATTTTTTGTTATTATTCAAATCATGTATTATACAATAAAAAAGTTAATTATTGTATCTAACTGATCTGAGCAGTAGAAATATATTTAAAAGGAAAAAAGATCAGTTAATAGAAAAATACTACATTCAGCATTAAAAAATTATGAGATTCAGTTGTGAACACAGATTACATAATTGTAATCTTACCAACTCTGGGGGCTGAGGCAAGAGAATGGCAAATTCTATGTCATCCTGGGCAATCCTGTCTCAAAATAAAAACATTAAAAGGTCTGGGTATACAGCTCAGTAGTAGAGCACTCCTTGGTTCAATCCCTAGCATTAAAAGAAAAAAAAAACCAGCAAAACAAATCTGAGACCCAGTTTAAGTTTAGTTATTAATAGAAATGATTAGCAATCTAATATAAAATTAAATTTAAATAAAAATTTGTACTTTATGAACAGATTATTGCAAATATTTAATACTTTCAAAATTAGAGATCATCAAGTCACTCTATTAATATTTTCAAAGTTCTCACATTAATATGTGTTGATATCTAAAAAGGATTATGAGGATTAGATAAAGACAGAAATTACTTTGCATATATCTTGAAGAACACCAGAAATTATTCAGGAAGAATATATTTTTAATGAAATTAATAGCTCCTAATTTAACTTTTAAGGAGCTGATTAGCTAAAAAAGTACAACTGAGAACCTACCATGAATAAGGTACAATGTTAGGTGCTGTTTTGTACTGATAATAAAACTATCACATAAAATCTATGAAAGATTCAGTTGATGCTGTACCTAGGCTAAAAGAATAAAGAACATGAAAAGTGAAAATCTAACATGATAAGAGTAGAAATGGAAAATATAGAAATATTATATATAGCAATGTTAAAATCTAAAATTAAGCACCAAAATTCTTTCATCTTAGTTCTATGAGAAAACTGGATATTACTGTGGGTCCTTTAAAAAACTAAAGGGGTTGTAGATGTGATTCAGTAGTGGAGCACCTGTCAAACATGTGCAAATCCCTGGGTTCAATTTATGGTAATACCGGAAAACAATATCAATATTCTCTTTCCATAATAATAAATACAGGGGTTTCACTTGCTAGGTAGAGACAGAAACTCAACTGTTATTTTAATTCTATGGAAAAGTGGTGGCATGCTTCATCAAATCTCTTAAACCACAGAAGGCTCAAGACGAAATATGTACATGTACCAATATCCGATGATTAATATATTCATTATACTGTGGGGACATATAGTAATAAAAGTGTTTTTTTTTTTTTTCAAAAAGAAACCGATGCTACATTGGAGGCAGGAAACATATATGGGCTTATAAGTAGTCAAATATTTCTTCAAGGTCCATTAGAAGTGAATCACTGGAAAAGATTAGAAAATGGGTATCACAGAAAAGACCGACAAAAAATTAATCTAGGAATGAGGATTCATTAGATATAGGAGGGATAAAGATCAGTATTTCCTAATATCATTTTAAAAAATCTAAACATATTGCAGCTGTGTGAAAATGATGATTAGCTTAATAGTTATTTATCTTATTAGTCATTACCCAATTTTCCCTAAAAACTGCATTAGTTGCCAGATGTGAGGGTATCTGGAGGCCGAGATGGGAAGATTCCAAGTTCAAGCTCCATCTGGGCAACCTAGAGACTTATGGAGACCCTGACTCAAATAAAAAACAAATAAGAGCTGGACCCGAAGATCATTGTGGAAGGCCTCGGGTCCAATCCATAGACTAAACACACAAATTGTCACTTGATACATTTTTATATTTTTGAAAACATACTTAAACAAATGCCACTACATTTAATTTGAAATTTCCAAAAATATGGTCATATTATTCCATAGCATTTATTGTTTGGAATAAGTGAAGTAAAATACTTATTACTTATCTATGTTAAAAACACCAAAATTCTTTTAATTTCAAGAACAACAAAAAACTCTCAAATCTTTACTATTTCAAAACTATAAATTAAATATTCTCAATACAGGAAGACGACAAAAATATCTGACCATGAGTAGCACACAGAACTTTTCTGTATTAAAAATGGACTTGCCTTGATTTATATACATTCACACAATGCCTTCCTCAGTGACAATGATATGCATGCAGAGAAAGCCTAACCAGAGGAAATAGTTGTTGAATAGAAATCAACAAAAGTGAACATGTGATTCTTAACTCATCACACAGGTTCAATCAATCATTATATTATAATTCAGCTCAATTCCAAGGAATCTGTACATATTCCAAATAATTCAAAATCTGATAAGAAACACAATATACTTGTGCTTGGAAAAATGTTTACTAAATAATACTACTGTGAGCTAGAATAAATACTGACAGATAAAAATTAGTTATTATGATTCAGTACATAGGAATACAGAATACCTAAATATATATAGTGTCTACAAAGCATGAGGAATGATCAGAACTTATGATGGATGTTTATATTTTTAAAAAATTTATTATGGTAAAAGACATACTGCCATTAATCACTTACCAATTCAATTATTTAAATACAGATTACCAAAACTCTATTTTTTCATTAATTGAGGAAGTATAAGAATAGTAATGTTTCCATTTGATGGCACTCAGCAGCAGCATTCATCTGCTATTTTGCTATACTTTGTAATGACACTCATGAAAGAGGACTTCCAGAACTGCTTCATAAAGTGGAGAGAAAGATGGGGTATGTTCCAAGAGAGTATTCTGAAGAAAATTAATGGCAATGTGTCTTTCAGTGCAATATTTTTCTGTACATGTAATTTTACATTTCACTTCTTAGTATTTTCTAGTGTCTTTTAGTATTCTCTTGAAACAGATTTTAAGAGGTCGCTGTTGTTTATTTGAAAATTCATATACTTTATTTGATTATTTTTAAATAATCTGATTTAATGATTATAAAATTTGCAGTCAAATCTTGCTACTGAAAAGAATACCTGCTTTTTTGTTCTTGCTTCAATAATTGAGCAGCTATTTTCCTTAAATCAGTTACTTCCTTCAAATCATCATCATCTTCTTCTCTAAGTAACTGTTCTTTCTCAAGTCTGAAAGGTGACACAAACATGGTTATCCAAAAAGAAAGACAGATTATTATATGACAGCTTTTAGACACAGAAATCATTTTTGTTTTCTACACCATATGAAAGCTAAAATCCCTTGTATTTAAAATACCAAAATAAGAAACAAAGAATATTTAAAGAAAGCACATCTACATTCTCTACTCAATATAAATGTGGCATAACAATCATATTAATATAATCTATGGCTAACAAATAATGGTCAAGCATATAACCATTTTAAAAATTATGAAATAGGGCCGGGGATTTATTTCAGCAGCATAAGTGCCTGCCTTGCAAGCATACAGTCGTGAGTTCAATCCCTAGTACAAAAAAAAAATTATGAAATAAGGTACCGGGCATACTAATTTAGCAATGCAAATAGCCCAGTCTTGAGCCTAATAAGGATTACAAAGCTCTAAATGGCCCACTTTTTTTTTTTTTTTTTGAGACAAGGTTCCACCATGCAATTCAGGTTGGCCTTCAACTCACTTTGGAGCCCAGATTGGCCCTGAACTTGCAGCAATCTTCTTGTCTCAGCCTCCTGAGTGCTGACATTACAAGTGTATGCTACCACGCCCTGCTCAGACAGCCCACTTTTATAAATAAATAAAAACTGTTACAAAAATTTCTCATTTTACTGAATCACACTGCTTTTATCAGTTCATGCATTTTGACTTTAAAAGTCTACGTAAAATATTTAAAGGAAATAAAAAAAAGTTCAAATAAGAATTTTAAATTTGCCAGAAATGCTAATTAAAATGTTGCTTTCATTATTTAAAGAAAAAATTGACATAAATTATTCTCCAAACTCCAGGTATTTTATCTCAAAAAGAATTTCACTTAATAATATTGCTAGCATGGTGGCACACTCATATAATCCCACCCCAGCACTTTGGAAGGCTAAGGCTGAAGGTTTGCAAGTTCAAGTTCCACCTGAAGAACTTGGTGAGATTCTGTCACAAAATAAAAATTAAAAGGGATTTGGCTCAGTGGTAGAAAGCCTCTGAGTTTGAACCTCAGCACTATAAAAAAAAAATCAAACCGTAAGCCTTTGTATCTTTATAACATCTTCCATGACACTGATGACTCAAATTTAGGCAACTCTTCTGACTAGATAAGATGACAAGATAATAGAAGAATGAAATCTATAAGGCCAGTAGTGTAGTTCAGTGGTACAAGGTTTGCCTTGCATACTTGAGGCTCTAGGCTCTAAATTAAATCCCTGGTACACTCCACCCCAAAAAGAAAAAAGTTACTAATGAAGTCATTTAAACAAAATATGATATGATATAGAGAAAAAAGTATGTGGGTCAGAGAGGGCTTGGTTCATGCCCCAGGTACTAGCAGACATTAACTAAGAGGGTTTAGATTAAAAAAAAAAAAATACAGTCTCTGAACTTCACTTTCTCCATTTGTAAAAATGCATGGTTTTAGTGAATGTTAAATAAGAAACATGACAAAGCATACAATACTAATCCTGGAACACAGTAGGTATTCAACAAGTTTTGCTTCCTTCTTTCTTGCAGCTATGCAGCACCCTAAAGGAATAACTAAAAATAATGTGGTAGGTTATACTCCATATTTCATAAGGTGGAAGATAAAAAATGATCTCTATCACAGTTATTTTAATAACATATGGAAAAATTGCCATAAGCGATCTGAAAAAAATGCAAAGTACGTTAGATGAAGACACAGAGAGAACACTTGAGTTGCAGACATTTGAAATTGCAAGTCTCAGTTTCCTTATACCATCCAATACAATCCATCTTAAAGGTTTGTTAAAGAACTCAAAGGAAGCAAAGTATGTGAAGGTACAGTCCTCAGTGTAAAATAGGAGACGTTATTACTAAACCTCAGAGGGAAAAATCATGTACATTCTACACTGAAATGCTCATTTTGATTTTTGAAAGTTAAGGAATTCAGACAGATGAGTTACTTTAAATTAATTAAACCTAACAGAAAGTCTTTACTCTTTCAAGTAGGAATATGCAATGAATAGTTTAAGTATTAATAAGTAATTGTTCATTTTCAAAATTCACATGTGCTTACCTTTTTTCATTGTTTAGTTCTTCATTTTTCTGTGATTTTTCAGAGCATTTTTCTTTTCCCTTATATAAGAGAAAATTATTATTTTAAATATTATGGTCTAAAACCAATGAAACTGTGTTATGAATACTTGTTGACAGCTTTATTTACCTTAAGGAAAGAGACAAATGGTCCCATATGTGTATCGCCTTGTTCAGGAACAGTGACATCTTCTGTGTTGGGATCAATGAAATCATATACCTCTTGGTCTAAGTATAGAACAGTATTTACTTTAAAATAGATTTGTAAATACTCTGATACTGAAGTGCTTACAATAAAGTTTATTTTCTTAATAGAAGAGTTAGATAAAGACACTATAATTTTTCAAAACCCATTTTTAATAAACGATATTTGTATGAAATAAGAATAGCAGACACCACATAAATTACCTTTCTGAGCATCAGGCTTGCTTCCTATTGTGTGACTGTCATTTCTTGATGTCTGTTCTCTATTTGATTCTGATACTTGAGAGTGAAGGCTGATCGTATCATCATCTGACGGCTGAAAGAAACAAACACAAAGTATAAACAAGGTATTAGAAACATATCATAAAGATTGCATCCTTTTAATTAAACATATTATGAAATATCTGCTCTGCTTCATCAATTTTCAACCAAAAGTTAAAATGTTAAAGTTGACTGTTCTGTTCTTCAAAATGAAGTCACAAAATATAGCAGTGATCATGGTTTCAAACAAATAAAGTTAAATATATGCAAGTGACTGTATTTCAAGGCTCTAGTACAATTATACAATAAAAAAATTTATCAGCCATAAAAAAAAACTCACTTCGGTTGTAGATAATCGTTTCTCTCCATTATCACTTCCAATTCCAGAGTCAGGGCCATGATTTTTATTTGGATAAAAATCTTCCATACTATGGAAACACAAATCGTCAGGGCATCTTTGATCTTGGTCTTAAATAATTAATTCACACTTGACCTAAAATTTCACTAGACACTGCAGAACATATATGTCTAATGTCTAAGATCCTTAAGGACTTGAGAAGTATCAGAAATCTTCCTAGAAAATATTTTATTCATGTCCCTCATGTAGCATTTTTCCACAATGTACACTTTTACAAAGTATCAATTGTTAGCAATAAATATTTCTTCTGAGAGATTCAGAAAAGCAGGCTAACCTGCTCAAAAATTATCTGAATGAAAGGCCAACTTTTCTTATTGGTTTGGCAAATTTCATCACTAGCCTTTGAAATATTTTTAAATTTTATACAGTTTCCTCTTCAATAGCTCTAAAAACATGTTTTAGTTACGTAAGTAATACTCATCATATAATCAAGAAAAGGGATGATATAGGGAGGAAAAATATGTAATTCACTGAATATAAGATGTTTTTGTATGTGACCACAGCTATCTTTATAAATTTTTCAATTACAAAATATACCACTCAGGTTGAAAATATTTTTCTCTTTAATTTACAAATATACTACACACTGAACAATGGCTGCTTAAATTTGTGTTAAGTGTTTTAAAAATAGTACCTTTTATATTTCTTGTGAAAACTCCAGAAGACAGTGATGTTTTCTCACTAATTTTTGTATTAATTGCATGATAAAATGGGTACTACCTTGACATACTGAGGGTTGTTTTGTTTTGTTTGGTACCAGGGATTGAACTCATGACCTCACATTTGCTAGGCAGGCACTTACACTGCTCAACTAAATCCTTGGCCCTTACACTGAGTTTAATAACATGTATTATTAAGACCGATTTACTGTTTATTTTTACTTTCCTTAAAATAGGCTATTAAAGACCAGGTGTGGCGGCATATGCCTGGAATTCCAGCACTCTGTAGGCTAAGGCAGGAGGACCATCAAGTTAGAAGCCAGTCTGGGCTAAAAGTGAGTTCAAGGATACCCTGAACTGCATAGTGAAATCCTGTCTCTAAAGATAAAAAAAAAAGGCTACTAGAAAAATGAAAATTATGCATTTATCTCATATATTATCTATTAGATAGCACTGCCAAAAGTTAGCTCCAAAACATACCCTAATTCTTTCCACTTTTTTTCCTCGCTATTGTGGCCACCCTGTTTAAGACCACATGTTCTCTGGGCAATACTGCAGTAACCTAACTGGTAACTGTGTTTTCACTTTCGCTTATTTCCAACTTATCCTCCTAAAAGCCAAATCATTTAATATAAATCAGGTTATGGTATTCTCTTAAAATGGTCTAAAGATTTTCTAATGTATTTTTTTAAAAATCCCAGCACTAGAGAGGCTGAGGGAGGAGGACTGCAGTGAATCTGAGGTCAGCGTGGACTATTTAGCAAGACTCTGTCTCATCCCCACCCCCAACAAAGAAAATGCAAACTTTTGACCACAGACCACAAAGCCACCACATGACCTCAGCCCTAAATATCTCTCTAAAGGCAACTTGGTCCTTTACTTCAGTCACTCTACTCCAACTATGCTGCTCATTTTTGAAGACACTAAGGTCTTTTCAGCTCGCAAATACTGTAAGTCAAAACTGCGTTTAACACATTTAATCTAACAAAAATCATGGCTTAGCAACACAGTGCGGTTCACTGTACAGTACTGACAGTTCATCCTTGTTACCAAGTGGTTGACAGGGAGCTAGCTGCAGAGTACTGCTGCTGCCCATCAGAGAGAGAGAGACAGAGAGAGAGAGAGAGAGAGAGAGAGACAGACAGACAGACAGACAGACACAGAGAGAGACAGAGACAGAGAATATAAATACGAATGATACCATATACCACCTACCCAAAATGGTTTCTACTGAATGTTTATCACTTAAGCACCATTATAAAGCAAAACACTACTAAGCGGAGCCATCATAAATCGGGTCCATGCTATACAAGTATGTGCACACATGCTATGTTTGAATGTGTTCCCAAGGTTCATGTGTTAGAAACTTAATCCTTCCTGCAAAATGTTGGGATGTGTGCCCTAATGGGAGGTTATTTAAATCATAAGAGGTCTGCCCTAATGAATGGATTAATGTTGTTATTGCTGGAGTAGGTTCATTATCCTGGGAATAAATCTGTTGCAAGAGTATTCAGTCCCTCTTAAGTGCTTTCTGTCTCTTGCCCATGTGATGAGTTCTCTCATTCTGTGATTCAGTAGTAAGAACCTCACAACAAGTCAAGAAGCAGCAGTGGTTTATCTTGGACTTCCCAGCATCCAGAACCTTGAGTCAAATAAACTTCTATTGTTTCTTAATCACCATCTCAGGTACTTGGTTCTAGAGCACAAAATGGGTTAAGTCAGTGTCTCTCAATCTCTCTCTCTGTCTGTCTCTGTTTCTGTTTGTCTGTCTGTCTGTCTCCCTCCCTCTCTCTCTCAGCTCCTTGAGGGCCAAGATTAATGTTAATGTAGAGCATTTAACAAAACACACCATGAATCTACCAGCAGGCAAACAAATAACTAAAATAATGAATGCCATTACTAAAGTAAATTCACTTCAAAATAAATATAAATCAAATTAACACAGATTAGAATATGCATCAATTCTAATTTTCACACAAATTCTTGGTCTACTACCATTAGTAGTATTAACAAAATAATCTTTAGGAGTTAAATCTAACATTTAATTATTAATTATATTGAAACAAGAGAAATATTTAAGAAAAAAGTCCCATCTGGGAATCTGAGAACTTGCATTGTTAAGAGAATGCCCTTTTTAATACTTACAAGACACATATTCACTATAGGACTTAAGAAGAGCACAGTGATGATAGTTAATAACTACTAATAGTATGGAACAGAACAGTACTTATTATATAGCTATTCTAAGCAATCTATAGCATATACGCAATGACAAATCTTTAAATGTTTTATGAAAGGGTATATTTTTCCATTATGTAGTTTGACCTTGTTTTAAGTTATTTCCATACATCAGCATGGAATTTTATATTTTCATTAAGTTTTTCAGACCAATATATATCTTGAATGGCTGAAGTAGGAGCAATACTAAATCTAGCATTTCAAAACCTCATGAGGAAAGCACCAACATCATGAAGAACATTGTTATGGTTTAGATTTCGATGACCTCAAAAAGCATTATGTGTTTGGAAGGTGACTGGATAGGGGGACCTATATTCTTCAGTCCACAGTTGATGAGTTCACAGCTGAGTATGCTGTTAAGAGGTGGAGCCTGGTTCATTTTATGACAGTGATATTTAGCTTCAACTAATTACTGACAGCACTAGGCAATCAGCCTAAATATATTCAGTACTGTATACTCAAGATTAATAAATATCTTTCATAGAAAGAGAAAACAACAATTATCAAAAGAGACTGTGTTTACTTTACCTGTCTGTGAGAGGCTGAGAGGGCATTCTTTTGCTCAGTGATGGAAGATCCAAAGAATCTGGTTTCTTATCCATTCTACAGCACGCTTGAATATTTAAGTACTTAAATATATGTACTTTACCCTTCAAACATATCTGTTAATAAGTAATGAAATATTTAATGATATACTTCTACATAAAATTGATGTACCTATCAAATTATGTACACATTTTATTCATCTGAATTTAAGTTAAAGTATCACAATTTTGAGTGATACTTTGTATATATAATTTGTACTCTTAACACTAGTTAGAAAAATCTGACAATATGGATACCAATCAAAATTCTCTGTCATTTCTTTTTATTGGAAGAAGTTAATTTTCCTATATATCACTTATTTTCTTGAACCACTAAGCAATGTAAAATGCATGAAAGTTGCCTTTACTTGAAAAACAAATTTACTATTTGTTGGAATGATAAGAATAGAACAAATATGTAATTCTTGAAAATAATCTCAATAAGATGTATGGTACAAATACTGAAAAAAGGCCCATAGTAAAGATAATGTAAATATATGGAAAATAAATTTCTTGAGAGGTGTAACAGTAGACAAGTTAGAATAAAATCACAAAAGATGACATTAGACAATTCAATGAGGATAAGACTTTGGAGAAACTATTTTCATTGGAAAGGAATGAAAGGCGAAAAACAATGTGAAAAGAAGGCATTTTGAGCTGGAGCAGATGGCACAAGCCTGTAATCCCAGCTCTTGAGAGGCTCGGACAGTAAGATACCAAATTCAGGAACTGTCTGAGCAATTTGGTGACTTAGCAAGATTCTGTCTCACAACAAAATATTGAAAAAGGGAGGGCTAGAGGTGTAGTTCATTGCAAAAGTGCTGGATCCGATCCCTAGACTGAGAAAAGGAAAGTATGTATTCTGTATGTATTCAGTATAGAAAAAAGTGGGGAATGAGAAAAAAGGAAGTCAGCTTCACAAAGATTAATTACAATCGCTGAGTGATATCAAATAAGTATTTCTCAAAATTTTAAATAAAAATGTTTTGTTCTATAAAAACAAAATCTTCACTTGCATATAAAAATAACAAGGATTACAAAAAGACAACTACATTAAGAGCAATTATAACTTCCAGTAAAAAAGAAGAATATTTTTAGGTAATTCTACTGGATAATAATTTTGATTTGACCACTGAAAATTTTAATTTTAAATGAAAATTTAACAATATTTGAACTATGAGAATATAAATACATTAACTGTTAATTAAAATGTGCTAAATAATATCCTACTACCTGCCCAAACTAGATAAACATTTATCTTTCATTATCAAATTAAATGCTAGTGAATTATTTCTTTTATAAATTTTAACAAAAAACACTTGCTTCATTTAGGGTTTTTTGAGATAAGGTCTCCAGTCCAGGCGGGCCTTGAACTTGTAGTCCTCCTTCCTCAGCTTCAGTGCTGAGATACTAGCATATTGTTACCACACCAGGAAAACTTTTACTTTTATTTTGGTAATTCATACCAAGAGTTTAAAAAAGGAAACAGAATTACAAAGCTAAAGAATAAAAAAAAAAAAAAAAACTCCATTCTGTTTTCAATCTCTGAGACCCAATCTTGACTTTAAACTTTTAGTTAATTTTGTGCTATTAACACATTTCTATTACTTTTTTAGCTTCTCAAATATAAATTTTGTTATTTAAGTCTCATTAAAGAAGACTGATTGATTTACATTGCCACTATCACCATCACCAACACTGTTACGACAGTACTCCTTTTTCAACTCCCATTGACTCACATAATCATACTTTCCTTCTGTTCAAAAGCATAGACTAATAGTTAAACTCTGGAGTCACAAAGCATTTGTTTGAATCCTGGCACCACTCCATGTTAGCCATGTGATCTGGAACATGTCATTTAACTTGTACATTTCTGTTTCCTCACATATAAAATAAAGATGACAAAAGTTCTTCTTTTATACCATTGATATAAGAAATTAATTAATATATATATTTTCATCAATGTTTGGAACATGCTAAGTGCTACCTCAATCTTCGCTATTTGGGCCTGGCAATGCAATTCAATGGTAGAGTATTTGTTTAACATGCATAAAACCCTGGGTTTCATTCCCAGCATTGCAAGCAAAAAAAAAAAAAAAAATGAAAACAAAAATCTTGGCTGTGATTATAATGAAGTCACAATTTTCCATTAAAGCAAAATTCAATATTTACATTATTATAATCAGAGAATAACCACACATGTACCCCTATAGGGTAATGGGATTACATTTATTTTCAACTTAATTTTTGTTTCTCAAAAAGAGCCCAAATTCTGTTTGGCACAATTTTCTATATACCTATCACTAATTGTCCTTGAGTCTCTTAGAGAATTGTAAAACACATGGTCAAGCACACCAAATTATCTATAACTTTATCTTATGAGTAGGGGGTAATCTACTACTCCAAACTGACTGGCTGCTCTCTGAGCCTATCTGTCAATCTCGGATGTGAAAAATGCCTCTTTTAGTTTAGTTCTCATTTGGTATAACACATTCTGCTAGCTTTCTAAGAAGGGGTACATGGGAGTTAAAATTTCTCATAGTTTACATGTTTGAAAACAACTTTCTTCCTGACATTTGAGTAAAGTTTGCATGTAGAAAGCTAGAATTATGCCTTTAGTCTGAGAAGGCACCATTCAGGGCTGCTGCTAGGCGTCATTCTGATAACAGTTCTATGAATGTACTCCAATTTTTGTCTCCTTAGTCTTTTCTCCTGGCTTTACTGAAATATGAGTGCTAAAAACTGTATAAATCTAGCATATACAATATAATGTATTGCTATATGTAAACATTGTGAAATGACTGCCACAACCAAACCAATTAATATATTCCTCATATCATATACTTATCTTTTTTGAGTAATGTGAGAATACTTAAGAGCTACTTTCTTAGCATATTTCAAGTACAAAATAGTTATTAACTATAATTACCATGCTGTACATTAGGCCTATGAGATATCTTGTAAACACTAAGGAATGGCACTACTTAACCATGATCTCTCCTTTCCTCTACCCCTCAGCTTCTGACAACCATTTTACCCTGTCAGTCTAAGTTCAATTTCCTTTTAAAAGATTCCATATATAAGTGAGATCATTCAGTATTTGTCTTTCTGTGTCTGGCTTATTTCACTTAGCATAATGCCCTCAAGATGCATCCATATCATGGCAAATGTCAGCATTTCATTCTTTAGGTCAGAATTGCACACACACGCCACACACATGCACATGTCACATCTGTTTTATCCATTCCTTTGGTGGTAGACACTTATGTTGTGTCACTAAGTACTGTGAATAATGAAACAATTGCAGATAACAATTTGATACACAAATTTCATTTCTTTTCAATGATTTATAAGTTATCTTATTTCCATTTCCTGGTACATAGCTCCTACACAGAATCTTTTAAGTGATTAAGTGTCCTTTTCTATAGTAATCAGATGGCAGGCTAAGGAAACCAGGAGAGCTTCAGGATGTAGGGTTTGTAGTTAGGGAAAGCAACCAAAAGATTAGAAAGCTGAAACATTCAATCCCACCACCCTCAACCCCTATCACCTGGGAGGAGAAAAGAGAAGAGACTGGAGTTTGAGTTGATGCCAATGGCCAATGATGAATCCAATCCTGACTACACAATTAAGCTGCCCTAACAACCCAAAAAGATGGGGTCCTGAAAGCTTCCAGAATACGTGGAGGTGTGTGCAGTCTCACCTACCCACAGTGGGCATGGAAGCTTCACAGTCCTTCTTCGCATACCTTTTCCTAAGCATCTCTTATACTATTCATATGTATCCTTGAAATACCCTTGAAATACAAACAATCAGTAATTGTATGTAGTGCTTCTTCGCATTCTAAGAAACACTCTAGCAAATCATTGAGTCCAAGGAAGTAGCCAGTGGGTCAGAAATATAAAAGGAAGGTACTTTTGTGGGAGTGAGTCCTTAACCTGTGAGATCTGAAGCTATCTCCAGGTAGAAGTGTCAGTACTGAAATGAATTATAAGATATTCTATATGCTTTAAAAAATGCTTGGTGGCCATGAAGGTGGTGAGAAATCCCTATACATTTTAGCAATCAGAGGTTATGTATTCTGTGTTGAGAACTAAAATAAAAAAACTGGATTTTCTATCTTTCACAGATATATATTCAGAAGTGGATTGTACAATCATATAGTAGTTCTACTTTTAACTTTTTGAGTTAGTTTCATATTTTCTTCCATAATGGTTACTTGATTTTATATTCCTACCAACACTGTACAAGGGGACTTTTATCGCATATCTTGACCAACACTTGTTACCTTTGACTTTTGATAACAATCATCCTAAGAGACATAATGTGGTATTTGTCAATGGTTTTGACTTACATTTGCATGATGCTTAGTGAGGTCAAGCATCTTTTTATAAAGCATCTAGTCAACTCTCTTGATCATTATTAAATTGGGTTCTTTTGTCTATTGAGTTGTATGATACTGATATATTTTAGATATTAACCCCTTATAGGACACATGGGTTACAAATATTTCTGAGTATCTATAAGCCAAAAAAAAAGTGTGCCCTCTTTTGGAAGCCTTTCAGGGTTTTGGTCCCTGCCTTTCATTTTAGAGATTATTCCTAAGATTTCTACTGATCCTTGGTTGTCTGCTTACTTTCAAGAAAGACAGTAAAACTCTGGAGAACATGGCGGACAGACAACAGCAACTACTGAACGCTCTCTAAAGGCTCGGCTCAGAGGCCAGGAATGATGCGGACTAAGGAGATACGAACCAGTAGAGATATGCTCTGCTGACTCAGGAACAAACTGGGCTGAGAGAATCCAACTTGGAATACAGTCCTGGCGCTAAAATAGGAACAGAAAAATCTCGGTGTGGAGGCTCGACTCCGCACCATTGGAAACCGCGGTTTGGATTTCCCGCCGCGCGGCGGCCGGCTACCTCCACAGCGGCTCGGCAAGGAGAGACGCGACCGCCGAGCTCGGGAACGGAGTCGGAAACGCGACGGACAGGAAGGAAGGCTGACTGGAGGCGAGGTGAGCGAGGAACTGACTCCCTACCGCAGTCTGACTCCAGCGGAGGATTTTCTGGGCGCGGG